TGTTGCCACCAGGTGTTCTAATACTCGATATCTTCCCTTGATTGTTCCACCTTCTCAATGTTTCAGATGAAATTTCGAATTTCTTGTGCTCCTCGATACTTTATCGTTGACATTATCTTGCTCAAATATGCAAAGCGGACTTATTTATATTTGACAAAGAATATTGAATTATCAACAATGATGTAATGATGACAATTCGATATTCTTTGTCATTGATAATCAAAATAATAAATAACAATCAGTAAAATAAATAGCAAATAGAGATTTAATTATTAATATTGCATTGTTTACCAACCGTATAAACGTAGAAATAGAAAGAAGAATACTAATGCGCGGTTTCCAATTAGCATCCAATCAGATAAACGAAAATTTGTACGCTTAGAGGCTCAGCCACAACACGAATATTGCTACTTCAGACCTGTGATTACTTTAATGTCAGTAGAAAGTAATACGTGGACACTGTTATGGTTGTTTAGTTTTGATGTTGCTCATAGATAAAAATGTAACGCAAGAATTGAGAGTGTGGAAGCTATTACTATAATATTTGCAGCGGACAGAGAGTAAGGCAAACGTTTCAACATCTCTTGTCGTTTACCCATTCATTGGTGCACGTGGTTTACCTTACTAGTATTACATGGGGGAAGGCAAAGAATGTGGTTAACTAGTATGGTTCCCTGTATTAGCGAGGTCCACAGATTTTTTGGATGACGTCACACGCCAATACTCTTTGTCCGATATTAAATAATTTATAATACTATTTGTAGGACTTTCATTGGTTTGTAAGTTTGTAATTCAAGATATAACCGCTTCTCTATATTGCTCGTTTATCCTATCCCTATCTTTTGCTGTTCATTTGCAAATAAACCCTACTCGTTCTTCCCAATAGAGTAGTTCATTCTTTTTGTCGTGGCTCGTTTTCTACCTAGACTCACGTATTTGTCTTGCATATTTCACTACATTCTCCGCATTCTTTATTCGTTTTATTTCTTATTGGGGGGACTACTTGTATATAGACAACATTGGAATTCATACTCTGTTAATGTGAATTGGCCTTTTCATTTGCACTGTATCATAAAATTCCAATAACCATCATTGCAAGAACACTTTACAATACTCGACGCATTTAGCTCAATCTTAATACTCAACCTAATGTACAGTGGACAATACAAACCACGGCCACGACTAAAACTCTTTTCCTCACCAGTCCGACCATTCTATCCCCCACGCATTCCCTTCACCATCTACTCTTTTCTTCTTTTACTTCTTCTTTCCACACTTCCACATATAGCGGCTCAAGTTCCAACAAGCTCCGTTTCTCAAACGCCAAACCCCACAACCTTTATAGTTCCACCTAAAATCAACTACAACAAAACTAATGGTGTATCTAATGGCATATCTGAAATAGATCCAACCGGCAGTGGAATATTGTTTGTGTCGGGGGTGATCACATCGTTTATGAACATTTTCGGATGTATAGTAATATTCGTATTATCGTATCGTACGTCCAAAAAATTACTAGAACCGCTCTCACCAACACAGCGCTTTCCATTATACATGGCAGTGCTAGACCTTCTGACAGCAATATTCATCATCCCTAACTTGCTATACCCAATGATTCATAATAGGCTTCTACCAGGCGCATGGTGTATAGTCATGGGATTTGGAATGTCAACATTGATTAGCATGAACATGATGTTAATGGCCATTATTGCTGTCATTACATATTTGAGTGTCTGTCATAAAAAGACTGGGGCATCCGGGGCTAAAGATTGGGCACTGTTTGCATCTACTATCTTGCCTTCGCTCTCTATAGCTGTTATCACTTTGGCAATGAACGGATATGGACCTGATACTTTTTGGTAAGTAAAAGAGAGATCAGATGGAAAGTTTCTTGGGTATCAGTGTATTTTTATAACCTTATAGTATTAAATAAGCGCATATTCAAGCGTGATACAAGTGCTTGTAAAGAACAATGTATTAACGTATTATCTACTGGCATTTGTTGCAGGTGCTTTACTCAACGCTCGGCGTCTGGGAGTCAAGTAAATCTTGTCGCAATGGTTGCTTTTGCATATATCGTGACAGCCGTAACGACGTTCTGCTATCTGAACGTAATAAAACGAATTCACAATGTAGAATCACTGTTATCCGCTGGAATCCTTAAAAAGTCGCCTAAATCCATGTCACGACGCACTTCAGACATACCGATGTACAACCTTAATTCCCCGAGTATAAGCGAGAGACATGATGAGAGGAGAAATAGTCGATACACCAACAAATCCGCATCATACCAAGATTTAAGCCTACCAGCAGTCTTAATGGCCTCTACCGTGCATAGAAATTTGACAAAAGCCGAGAAGCGAATCGCTTTTAAAGTAACTCGCGCTACACGCAGAATGTCGTCTTATATCTTCCTACAATTGATCCAGTACACGCCAGTGATTATATACTGTTTATGTTTGCTGGTAGGTGCGAACGCAGCATGGGTGTATGTTTTAACGATCACGATTCTAAATCTTGGTGGAGTAGCGAAAGCTATTGCGTACGTACGGAACGAGCATATGACATTGAAACAATCGGCTGTGAATCCGTCAAAAGAAAATGCATCACCAGAGCATAGCAAAAGGACTGCACTTCGTCCAATATCATCTTCAATGTATGAAAGTTCGAGGGAGTACTTGTCTCCTATGACGAGTACGTTTAAATCAGGCAGTTCGATTAGTTTTACGTCATCTGTTGGAGAGTATAGTGATGATGGGTCGAACGGAATGATTCCGATTATTTTATCGCCAACAGTTAGTGAAATGTCAACGCTGACTTCCGCACGGACTCTACGAGAAGGCGATAGGTATTCCGATAACTATTACGATAACTATTCCGATAGGTATTCTGGTAGATACTCCGATAGGTACTCTAGCGGATACTCTAATAGGTACTCCGACGATCGGTCCACTGTAGCCACTACAGTAGATTATCCGCTCTCTCCAGTTCCGCCCTCTCCAGTCTCTTCCTGTTCAGCTCCACTCTCCCCAGTCTCTTTTTATTCAGTACCACACTCTCCAGCCCCATCCTCTCCAGCCCTATCCTCTCCCCTCCTTGGAATATTTCCTCGGCCTCAAACTGCGGTTCTAGCCCACCGATCCACTGCAACAGTGATGAATGTTGTCTGGAACCGTAGCGGTGATAGTTCTGAATCCGCTAATGCAGTCAACCGTCCGGTGGAAGAAGGATATATTCACGTGGACGAAGAGAAGGTGGATCCATTTTTGCATTCTGGATGGACTGAAGTTGAGGATGAGAACGAGAGTATTGCTGACAATGATGAAGACCGTATGTGAATGGAAATATGTCGTATGAGCTAATAGCGAGCGTTTTTGATGCATAGTTATCGGAATACTTTAGGGATTTTTTATTCATTGTGGACATTTGGGGTTCTCCATTGTGAAATACATTATTCAGAACAGCTAAGTGAACATTAAACCTTCGTTCATTGAACGTTACTTGTACTTGTATTTACGATTTTCGTTGATTGTAAAATAAATATTGTGATTGATATGCTGGTAACTCTCGTCAAAATCTTCTCTTTGGATTGAAAGAGCTTTTGAATGGTTCCAGAGTTTCGAATTCCTTTATTTACGTGGCATTTGTAGTAGTAATGTTAAGAATATAATTGTGACAACATCTAACAAGTCTAAGTTAGACAAGGATGTCTAATATTGAGCGACCCGCTACACGTGCTTCTTACTATAGTCGAGTATTCAGTAGCTCATCAAATTTAACAAACAGGTCGATAATAATAGTAAATTGGCACTTTTAGCTTCTAGCGATATTTTTAGAAAAAGCTAAACGCACTGACAACTATTGTACGACTAATGGAGCAGAAATTCCGTAATATGCATTCGGTAAATTCGTGAGACAATCTAAAATTAAGTTCGAATTCGTGTACCGGCGTTTGAAATACAAATAAATTACCTTGTTATGCAAGCATCCAAAAGGGACGATCTTTATCATCCACATAGTTTCTCTCAAAATGTCAGATATACAATGTCTTATGTGCGCCAAGCTTGAATTGCTAATCAGTGATGCAATTAAGTACCCACGAAATCTATAAAATTATTGTACGATATCAATTTAAAATTGTACATACCAGGAACGACAAAGCATCTTTGTATGCCATTAAAAATTGCTAGCAAGCCCTATATTATTTTATTCATAAACAATTCTTTGTACCAGTAATATGTGACATTCTCATGTATTCAAGCTAATAAGAGGTTTCAAGTTTTAACGATATGTAGAGACGCGTTATACTACAAGACGTACTGCATATTAATATAGACAGTGAATTAGATACGATGTACGCTTGCTTACGAAGAAGTATCGTTGAGCGGCAATTCGTTCGCAGGATCAATCATCACTCATTCGCAACAAAGAAGGGTTTGAAATCATCGGTGCTCTTCTGCCTAGCGTGTGGCATAATAATAATTGTAACTTACTTAACTAGGCCCATGCTGTATGTTACATCCTCATTATTCATGCAATGTTTCATACAATGGAAACATTCCGGATATCGTAGAGAGAATGTTGATAGGCCACATAAACCTAAATTCATATAGGCATAATAATAATTTAAAAAATGAATCGACTGATATATCGTATACGAACAACAGTCAAGCAAGAAACAACATTCATTTTCAATCTCCATCCAGACATCAGTATCGAATACTGTACCCGTATGTTATAACCATGACGGAAATTATCTCCGTATTTTTCATACTGCGGACGCCGAGTCATCATGGGTTTGACTTGGGTCAGATTTTGGGGGATTTTGGGGATTGTATTTTCTCTTTACTTTGGTATAATCGGCCAATAATAATTCTCAGTCACACGACATTTGTTTGCATTTGAACTACCAATCGACAGCATTTTGGGGTCGGAACATTTGTTCGTTACCTCCGGAAAACAATAATAGCTTCCCACTCACAAAGAAATCGGAATGACATGAAAGGTATGTATATATAAAGTAAGGTCAAGCATGAATATCAAATTTGAGTGAACGTTTAGTGTGATATCGTCACCATTTTGATGGAGACGTTTGACAATATCATTACACAAAATATAGGTCTGTATGTATTGGGAGTAGAGATTATTGGATCATATTGTCCTGTCTGCTGCAGGAGATTACGTATTTTGGTATCAACGAAATAAATATTCTTTATGCTCAATTTGTTTGATGAAAATGAAAGGGGAATAAAAGAATTATTATTAGTTCATACAAACACATGGGGGGTGGTGAAATATTTGTAAATATATACGCAAACCTATGCAGCTTTAAGTAAGCGTATTTATTCCGTATTCTTTTCTTAATCATAAAATCGAACAATTATGCTTTCAGGCATTGTACTTCCGCAGCATAAATCGGATTATTCGTGGGCTGAATCCAAAAACTAATTTGGTTTGATACTATTGTAGAAGAAATTGAATGAAAAAAAAAAATTGAAAAAAAAAGAAGATTAAAATCACATATCATAATATAGAATGATCGACAAATAATATCGTGTAACTAATCAGATTTAATTTTAGTCAATCAGGTGAAAAAAAAAAAAAAAGAAAAAGAGAAGAATGAAAAAAGGATAATGATGTAATTGTGAGATATAAATATAAAAAGTAACCCGGATCAAGGACGCCGAACAGACGTGCGTTTGACAATAACAAAAGTAAATAATTTAAATGACGCATTACACAACGCAAATTTCGAATTTCATAGACAGTTCCAAATATATCATTCAATAAATACATGATATTTGCTCATGTATCTGTTAATGGTAGATAAATGCAATCATATTCAAATAATTGGTCCTGTCTGCCCGCCTGCGCAATATGCCAAAGTTTTGATATGGAAATGTATGTCAACGCAGTCTATACGCTCAATGAACGAATTGATACATTCGCGGCATGATTGGACAATGTTTATTAAAAGAGAACCGTCTTCATCAGTAATGTTTACAATAATCGTTAAGAGTACAATGCACAGCAACGCTATTGCAAAAGCTTAACAAAGCATAGAGTACATATTGTAAATGATTGTTTGCCGTCTGCGGAAACGAGGTCAAAAATCGATATAAGTATCCGCTCTGCAAGTGCTGAACAGTATCGCTCTCTCGTATAGTGCGAGAATAAAAAAACCCTATCGTTTGATCTTTGCATACACATAATGCCGTCCTCGCCCGCACGTCGCAGACAGGCACGCAAAGAACGTCGTACAAAGCCGCCACGCCCTTTGAATGCATTCTTTCTGTTTCGCGAAGACTTTCGGAAGCGAAATGGGGATTTGCGTCAACAGGAAGTCTCGAAAAAGGCATCTGAAGCATGGCGTTTGCTACCTGCGAATGAAAGACAACGTTATAAACGCTTAGCAGAGAGGCAAGCCAACTTCCACGAAAACACGCCATTGTATAATCAAAACACGCTCAACGATGGCAACTCAAATAACCGAACAACCAATTATGGCGCGCAGACGTATTTTAGTTACGGCGTTCCAAACGAAATTGAATTTATAGTTGAGGAGCCTAATTCAAGTCAGAGCTCCTCTCCTTCGTCCAACCAAACGCCGTAATATGTACTTACACGTTTTAAGAAAAAAACCAGCGGAAAAACTCGTCGCATTTTCGATTTTCGTCGTTTCGATCTCGTGTTTCTCTTTTTTTTTTTGTTTTTGTTTTTTTTTTTTTTATTTTTTTTTTTTACCTTTTCTATGCTAGCTAGCATTATGGTTTATGCTTACTATGTAAGGCCTTCTATGACAATCTAACGTCAAAGGGAGCTTTTTAGCACAAGTTTAATTTGGTTGTTAGGTTGCCTATTATGAAAATAAAATAGATAAAAGTATTGTTTACAACTTCTGTATTCTCAACAATAACGTTCCAAACACACATTCGAAAATTTTGTATACAGGAAAGTTCAAGCGTAACTAAACGACGTTTTGCATTTAGAACTTTCTGAAAAAAGTACTATAATAAACTGTTAGACAACTCAACAAAATTTTTAGCTTCTTGACGTGTTTGATAATCTATCTATCAAGTCAATGCGATTGACTATTATCGCATATTTGGTAGAAAGGCTCTAATACCAACTTGTCGTCATTCAAGTGTGCGTGCAAATGCTAGCAATCATGCCGGACACAGGTAATGGGCTTGATACCGTCCGTAAGGAAGTGACACTGAAAAAACTGGTTACAGCGCGTGGAAATAATAAAAGATCGATATTATGCATTTATACATGTTTAATATACAAGCGAAATAAAAGTCTGTTCACAAAAACTTATACATCAATAATTAAAATCTTTGATTAAAAATATTCTTGTTTATACATAAGTTATCTCTGTTCATACGTATGGTCCAAATCATGTCCTCTACTATTTAAAACTATATTCAAAAAAATATTGGCTAGGACACGGAGCCATGGGTGTGCTCCACTTCTGACTCGTCCCCGTAAAGACTCTCGCACAGGCAATCCGGTTCTCTACGTGGCCTTTTACTCTTCCTTATTTCACTGCCTTAATATGTTCTTACTGACGGTAAGCAAGTAAGACGTCTCCCTGAAGGGTTAAAAGAGATGCCAACATCGGTAGCGACTATCGCTTGCTGGACTGACCATGAATAAAATAGCAAAGCCATTATTATATGACATTATAGTAAAGAAAGAAATTTCTCAAATATGAGTTTTTCAGCTACTATTACCTTTATACTCTTGGTAAATAATAACCAACACATTCCACGCTACTAACAACGAAACGTACAGGCAGACGTTATATTGGAAATTACAATATGGACGTTATCTGTTTAATTTGTGATGGAGAAGATGACTCAAAATACCCGACAGAGAGAGAAGGGTTTTTAACTTTGGTATACAAACTGTTAGATGAATATAAATATCCTCCATGTCTACTATGTTCAAATACTTTAGCATATGTACTCATGGTACAAGTATTGGTAAGTTAACTTATTCAAAAATAATACTTAAAAATAGTACCAAAGGCGTAAATTCAGGACAGCTTTATGACATTACTGGTGATTAATTTAAAAGCTAGTTAACCCAAATGCAAGGCTTAAAATGCATATTCTACAACAACACACAGTTCAACATTCACGTTCTGCTGGAATAGGTATTGATTAATGGTGGTATTATGTTTATAAAAGCGCATCTAATCCAGTATCTTTGTCAGCCAAGTCTTTCAATTATTCAGTCACGCTGCAATAACTTTGCCTTTATTGGGTTAGACCGTATTATTACTATTATGAGGACAATATCCTTTGCTTTCTAGACTGGGAGTAAAAGGTGGCTCTTTAGACCATGCGAAAACTTGGTTGCTCCACAATCATTTATCGACTGACCTACAAAACCCTACAACTTGACAATGGATTAAACTAAATATCGTGAAATATACAACTTCATAATATGTAATTAATATTCAACTTTGGATAGACCTTGGCGTTATAGATTTGCTCCACAAAGTTTTTTTTTTTTGCTTTGAAACGATTTGGAGTCATTATTGATATTATTATACTGGGCACTGTTATACGTTACAACGATTAGGGGTTAAACTTTATTTATTATATCTATCATATCGTTTGTCGCCGGAAGAGATTATAAAGTCTTGTCTCTCTATGTCCTTCAAGTTGTGTTATTAAACAATTGTAAGATCAAACACGGGGTTCTATCAGTCTAAACCAAGAATATACGCCTATGGTCCTGATTGTTACTCGAAAATAATAATGGTTACAAAAATAGCAGATAATGATAAGATTCCGAATGTTTACTGTTTATGTTGCTCTCTTGCCACTTTGCAATACTTTGGAGTCCTTTACGAACTTAATCTAATGATAATGGATACAAAATAGATGTTTCAGGACATCACTGATGTGGTTAATGTTTATGGTTACATGTAAACAAAAACATTCACACAAGTCGTCTTTGAGAAGAGTGTATGTATCTTTTAGCCAGAAGATTGCAAACTATAAGACGAACAGCTTCTTATTCTTACTAACTATCGTAATATACAAGCCTAATCGTGCTGTCGTCTAATAAGGATTTCCGAGACATGTTTTCTATGTTTAGAATGTTCGACTACACAAAAGTAATTATAATTTAACCATGACGGAAAAACTCCTTGAGCTACAGTGAAACTTTTAATTGTTGACAAAGCCTATTATTAGTCATCAACTACGCTGTTTTACCAGTCCATTTAGCAATAGAAACTTGCAGGATTGTCCGAAGGTTGATATTAATAAACGCTATCGTTAGAGAGTTTAATGCTTTAAAAGTGTCTCACAAAGTGTCACAAAGTCATCCTGACTTTACTGAGAGCAAATAGGCGGTAGTCTGATAGTAAAGCCAGTTTCGTGAATACCGAATATTTGATACGATAAATAAATATACTCGTGTTCGTAGACAAACGTCCACAGAGCATCTGTTTAACTATGGGGGGCAGTAAGAGATTAACACGGTCTACGCGAGTAAAACAAATGCATAAGACTTAATTAGAAGCTGATTGCAATTTCGAGAATGATAGCCATTGGTGTAGGCATAGATGGAGCTTCGGAATAACCGAGTAGCATTGACCAAAGGATTGTTGAAACCAGAGACTACGGACTGTGCGTTGTTGCAATTCGACATAGATATGTCTAGTTCGAACAGCTGTAATTGGTCTCCTCGTGAAGCAGATAGGAGACAATTATCGATGTTAGATTGATGAACTTGGAAAGTCGTATAGACGTTATCATGCATTATCTTTGATCGATCGATCAGATTGATTGCTGATTATGCTTGAAGCAATTGACATGTAGCACGATCCATCAGTATGATGCATGTCAAAGGAAAAAATCGGAAGACTCATGAAAGTTGGTTTGTCATGCAAACCAATCAAGCAATTACTGATCTCTTCTTGTAACAATCCTTTTTTCTGTAACAAGACGAATAATGGATAAACAAATATTCCTCGCATCAATGGACGTTTTAAAATAATTTCGTCATACCTTTGTGGCTGAATCTTACCTATTCTAGATAAATTCACGTGAAGTCACATTCCCGCCCATTTTTTTCCTTGTGAAAATTCGATCATTGTCATCAGTAAACGCATGGGCGATTCAAAGACACTGTGCCAAACAAAGGTTTCTATGCTAGCCCGAAATAGCGCAGCACAATGGCTATTTAATCATGGCAATTGATTGTATTTATAGCGTACGTACGAAACCCTTATGCACCACCCATTTAGCAAAGCAATGCGAATGCATTCTAAATGCATTTACAAAACAGGAATACTTACTTATATATCCCTTACCATTTATGTCATCACTGCATACAAAATCGTTCACAATTATCAAACCGCGAGATGAAGAACTTTCGCTAACTAATATTATGTGATCCATTCATTAGCAGATATGCAGGGTCCTGTCAATGTGTTTCCATGATTATCAACCTGTTTATTGTGTGAAACGGTTCGTTCCTTGTTACACAGCCAAAAATATTCGTGCCACAAATTTGCCTCTGTTGTCTATACGTAGTATGTAAAGCTACTGCAATGAAGAGGTAGTTCGATGAAATGGCGGCATTTTTTGTCACACGGATGATTTCCAAACATTTTCATATGTGTGCTACTTCATAGGCAGCGGCTTTCACAGCAATAAAGGAGATTTAATGGAACTTTCAAAATTTTTCATGGGGGGTTTCAAATCCTCTATATAATAGACGGTGATCCGTCTTACATGATTGCATACATAAATCGAAAACGTCACAAAAAAAAAATATCCTCACTCTCTTAAATCATCGTCATTGTCGAATCGTTGACTTCGTAGTTCGCAGCTTCGTACTAATTGTAACCACGGCTTTGAATATCGCATAAACCTTCTATCGCAATTTTTATAAATACAAATAATATGCCTTCGTCACCTGCACGGCGGCGAGAAGCACGGAGACTTCGCCGAATTACGCCCCCTCGACCTTTGAACGCATTTTTTTTATTTCGCCGGGATGTTCAAAGAAGTTTGAGCGCTAGTCAACCTGCAATTACGCAACAACTAATTTCCCAATACGCTTCTCAGAAGTGGCGAATGCTTCCAGATAATGAACGGAAGAGATATCATCGTACTGCAGAAGTGGCCGCAGAACTTCACAAGCAAATGTACCCAGATTATATTTATAGTCCGAAGCGGCAGAATAATGGTGGTGGGTTTAGGGTGAGATTTGATAATGGCATTTTTTCATGGAATAGTAGTGTTAAGGATAAAGGGAGAGACAATAAAAACGCAATTGTAAGTCATTTTTTTGCGTCGGAACCAAACAGTTTTGATTCCACAAAATTTATTGGCAACTTTATTCAGATAGACTCTACTGACGAAAAAATAAGCCCCACAATGATTTCTCAGTCGAACAATATCATTTCTCCACCAACTATTCATTATCCGAGTGCCAATAGTCTAGTCACACTCCCCTCCATTAATACGATCGGAAATCAGCAACCATTTTCACAATTATTAACACCGCTAGAACCTACTATCACGTTCACATTTACCTGTAAAATTGCGGCATCTTTGTAATCAAAATAGAGGTCAAATATGTCAAACATTTAGCATGCTAAGAATTATTTATGTCTAACCTTTTATGGGAGCTTTTAAATGAGTATAAGATAAGAATCAAGCGATCAATAAGCAAACCTGTATGACTTGTATAACTCAATTAATTAAACTTATATTTAACATCAATGTTACCCGTTTTTTAGATTTTGCTGTAATGTATAGAGCGTAGACAAAATTTTGATATTAATATTAATGCTTTTTTAATGGGTTCTCATATAGTAATGTATATTAGTATATACACTGTAGTGATAATCAAAACCATGACTTCTTGTGTAGAAATACCTAATATTAAATATCAGTCTTCAGATTTAATACTACTATTCAGAATAGAATCTTTTCCTCTTTTATCTATTTTTTCTAAGGTGCTCGTTTTTTTAGTTTAGTCTTGAACAGTTATTGTGCTTCAGCAGTTCTCTATATTAACAATTATTATATTAGCTATATAATAACGAGAAGATGTAAATTTTAGAGTTATCATTAGTTTCTGCAGTTAAAATAGTTTTCATAAAAAACTTTATTATTTATTTATCTTATTGTATTTTTATTTTTATTTAACTTTAACTTTTTTCTAATAAAAAAAAAGTCTATTATACCAGGAATCCAGATTTGTCATACTTACAATTACTACCATAATAGTAAGCAAACAAATCAGATAATCATCGTGGCTGTAGCATAATTGCAGGCTGAAATGCAAACAAGTGAACCAATGACCAGATATGAACTTTTTAAATTATCCGAGTGGTTAGAAACTTACTCCTTAATATCAGGTGACAGGTCTATGCGCGACATTTGTTAATAATTAACCGGAAATATACCCTAGAGAATTAAAGCCAAAGTGAATGGGGTGGATTTTTCGATAATTAGATTGCTTAAGCGCCATCCGTTGAGCCTTGATTTGCCTTGACACAATTGTAATCAAACGGTATTAATAACGTAACAATAATCCAATTTGCGTAAGCACAATTTTAATAAAAATTAATAAAAGCACATTAATTGCACAAGAGGAAAAATACATGTACTCATATCCAAAAAGCCATTATTGAGCATAGCTTATTTCTTTGGTCAATCTAATGTAATTCTATTTTGGTTAGTAATATCATCTTTGATACTATCAGAAAAACGTCTATTTTTTCTATTTATCGTTATCGTCTTTGTTCTTTACGATTTCTCTTTTTCTCATCAATTTACTGTTATGTTGAACTACCTCTCTGGCTTTTTTTTTTTTCGATTTTTTTTTTTTTTTTTTATTTTTTTTTTTTTTTTGTTTCTTTTTTTGTTTTTTTTTTTTTTTTTTTTTTTTTTTTTTTTTTAATTTTCTTGCCATGGAATTAGTGATGGCGTCTTTTCTTACATTTTGCCAAGTAACTTATAAATTTCAAACGTAATTCTATAAATACTCCAAAAAAGAATTCACCCGAGAATTGAGCTTTTTTTTTTTTTTTGCAAACGTTTGTTGATGGCAATGGATATTGTTAGTTTTACAATATTTATTGCGGTTTGTGTGTTTATTCTAAATGTGAGTAAATTGTTAAGATTCTTAATATTGTATGTAGACGTCGTTGATGCCACAAGTATATTAACAGCACGAGACATCATGTCACGTAAAACGATGGCCACTAAAATCGAACAGGCCTCGAAAAAGAGCGAAAACTAGAGGTATTTTCAGACATTCGTTGTAAATAAAAATATGTTGTCGAGTCAACAATCGTGGGAGAGCAATCATTGTCAACTCTAGGGATTTAGCGGAGCTGTGGCTTCTGCTTTTAGTTAAATACAACAACAGTTAGTGACCCGTAAATTAGGCTTTACTGCTCACAACCTTGTAGACATTAATTCTAGACAGTTATTCAGCCCTCGAGTCAATTGACCATTCCTTTCTGATGGGATTTATCCAAATGCATTTCCACTTAAGCGAATAACAAGCATAATGTCACCACGGGATAAGAAGTGAATATTCATAATTAATATAACGTCGGGGTCTCTTAATTGTTTTTGTTTCAAAAGTGCCTAGCATCTGTCATCTCTTTAAGTATTCTATCTGCCCGTCCTCTCCATCCTTTTTTTTTTTATTATTTAGGGAATAGAATCATAGTCAATGTATTGTTTTTGGTACCTTTTTCTGATTCATCATCAATATCTTCTCCATCGTTTACTAGGTTTTCTGTTCATTCATTCTTTTCCCAATTGCATGGAATATAAAAATTATAACAATCTCAAAATTTCTCATAATCTTCCCCCTATCTGAGGTAAGCAAATCGTCAGATGATGTATATTTCTTTACATCAATAAGTATAATGCTTACACGATGTCCAATCAAACACCGAATCTGCTCATCAAATAACTATTGATTCACCTTCTCATTGTTCAATGGTATTGCTATCGTTGTGCACTTACCTAACTCGCAGACACAACTTTGTGCCGTTATTCACGAAACCATCTTCTTTAGCAATGACGTCTAGTAGCGAATGTCAAAATTCGTCGGATACTTCGCGTATTGTATATGTGACTTGTCCCAATGAAGAGGTGGCAAAGCGACTATCCCGAGGTTGTTTAATTTGTCACGTATTATACAATTTAGAATATCGAATCATAGAAACATGTTTGCGTATACTCCATTCTAGGGCTATTAGTGCAGAAACTTGTTGCATGTGTCAATATCATACCAAGTGTAACTTCATTGTATCGTAAGTCCTGCAAGCATGCGTGATACATTAAATTCGAACATTTTGCTTATTTTGCATGTCTGTCTTACAGTATGGGGAGATGGAATTGAAGAGTCAACGGAACATCTCATGATGATCAAGACAGAGCAGAAACATGTGATGGAACTGACAAACTATGTAAATCAAAATCATGTATATGAAGTTCCGGAAGTCATATCTGTGAAGGTAAATAATAAACATCAGCGATGTACCATACATTGTTATAATGTCAGAGGATGTTATCACTACAATTTCTTTATGGTCGATGACCAATATTCTGACTTTATGCGCTAATTAATTCATGTTCACCTGCTTACGAATAGATTGACGGAGGGAGCGAGAAGTATATCGACTGGATCAGAAAGAGCGTAAAACCTTTACAATAAGTATAATCAATCTCGGAAAATTTATTGAACAGAGTTCTGTAGTAGCCTATTAAATCCTTGATAGACACCATACATGACATCCATAAGATAAAAAATGTATAATACAACTGTACAATCGGCATGTTTCATTCGTTCGTTATGTGTTTACGCATCTATTCTGTCTCATATAAGACACTCTTTTTCTCAGTCACAGATCCGTTTTCATTTCCAAAGTAAGCGATTTGTGCTAAGCGTACGAATAGTCCAACCTCGACGACTCCTGTCAACATCTTGATCTTTCTCATTAAATCGTCGGGATCATGAATCAATCCGAAATGTGCATCAATTACGAAATTCCCGTTGTCAGTTATAACGGGACCAGCCTTCGCCTTAGCCATTCTTAGTACGGGGTTGCCGCATCCTAACGTTTTCAACGCCATGATTACACGCGTATACGCAAATGGAATGACTTCAATAGGCACGCCCCGTGTCCAGTTCTCTCCCAAAACCTTTGAATTTTTCCTATGATCAGCGACGATAATAAACTTCTTGGCAGCCTCAGCAATAACCTTTTCTCTTAGATGACATCCTCCTCCACCTTTGATGGCGTTGAGATGCTCATCTACCTCATCTGCTCCATCAATTGTTACATCAATCTCGGGGTACGCATCAACATCACCCAGCGTCAGTCCATGTTGTACTATTAATTCCTTCGATTGAAAACTAGAGGGAATGAATACAACATTATTGTTTGCTTCTTTACCTCGTTGGAGAATACGCTCGATTACATAGACAACTGTTGAACCGGATCCTATTCCGACAACTTTTGTTGTTGGAGGTATATATTCGTCAACTGCTTTATAAGCAGCCCGACGTTTAGCATCATCAATAAGAGAAGAGGACATCGAGAATTGACGTCGAAGTAAATGCTTGAAGAACAAATTTCGGAATCGGATGGTAAGTGCCATATACGCAAATGAGGCAATTCTGCAAAGTAACGTGACACTAAATATGGCGCCCCGTTAAATGGAAGTTAATATTAAGCGTGCATTTATGCTTAGACTGCACAGCTCAGTTCAAATAAAGAGATCCTGAAGCTTTTAGAAAATTTATTATTGTATACATGTATAACTTGATTAGCAATGCATCAGAAATCAAAATCTGGGTTCTACGGAATAGAGTAAGAGTGTGATATGCTTGCCTATGGTTCAAGATTGAGATTTATGCCGCGCATATGTATTGAATTCATTAACTGTACAGTACCCTACCAGAAGTGAATGTTCACCATATCTACGTTTTGTAACTTTCAATAGGTGCTGTGCATAATTTGAGTGAGAAATGGCTACTTATGTTATAGATAGAGATTATTGTAAAAAAATAACTTAAACAAGTCACCGTTAACTATTTTTTGTAACCTGTTTCTCACATTCAAAATATATAAATACAAAGTTTCTGATATTTAGTGGGATAACCTCTTTCTATTACAGCAGTTAGCAAGAAACTGAATCACATCATTGCCTATTTGTAACCACTCTCTGTTGGTAATGGATGGTGTGTTCTGATCTTTCTTTTAGAACATCCCATAATAATAAGTGTTCAATGGGAGTTAGATCAGGACTTTGGGCTGGCCAGGGAAGACAGGTTAAGTTATTTCTAGTCTTCCATTCATTTTTTAGATATTAATATGGAGTTCTTGAAAAATATCTTCAAGAGTATCCAAATATGGTAAATTGCAAGATATTAATAGCATTACCAAAGCGAGTGGAACCGGCCCGTTGCAACGCGCCAAACTTGCCAGCCTTTCATGAATATAATTGGTGGCAATTTATTATTGACTAGTACTTTGTAACATTACAGGCTCTTACTCATTGTAGACCTTTTCATAGAGGCTCGGTATTTATTTTACTTTCAAATAAGATAAAGAATATTTCGTGCATTATACTGATATTCACTATTATGTCATAATCAGACCTTCTGGATGTAAAATAAATCGATATAACGAGAACAACAGCGACAATTCTATCATTTTTAACGACTTCACCGCGTCGATTACTTAGCCCTTGAAAGTAATGGTGCACTGTGAACGTGGTGACTTTGCATATTATCGTGTTTAATCTCATAATCTCCCAATATACATAAAAAATATTCATCTTCCATATAAATACACTGAAGACAACTAATACTTGAGTAAATAGTATACAAAGAATTGCAATAATATCATTGAAATTGGATGCCGTTTTCTAAATATTCAATAATGATACAATCAAGCTCGCTTGCCATTAGAAAGCTTGTCATTGTTCAAAGTGAATGCGTCTATTGACATAATATAATTATATTAATAGCTTCTTAATCATTTCCTGTACAGCATTGTTTCAACCCGCTTCTTCCGTCTTTCACGGAAGAAATTGCGACGTCTCTCGATCTCTTTACGAGTTATATCACAACCCACTTTCCGTCGACGGAAACATATCTAAAAAGAAACAAGTTAGTTATCTTTTAAGAATTCAACTGGGTGATGAAAACATTACAAACACATGTATTACCCCCATTAGCTTGTGACAATCGATTATGCCTTTAGGAATGTTCTGTACTGTTTGGAAAACTTCCATTGCATCTTCAACAGCAAGAATTTTATTTTCATTCGACTTAAAGATCGCTAATGCCACCCGAAAGAGTACCTTATTTCCCTCACTTCATGAAGTCAAACAATTAGTATATATTATAAGTCTGCTCTATAAAGTGAATTAGTTCTTTGTATATTACTTACTAGAAGAAGCAATCCCAAACTCTCAGCATCGTCTATAAAAAATTAAAATCACTCAATAATATCATCCAAAATTTGCAGACTGTAATCAACGTTCAAAACCCGCACAAAAAAATAAACTAACCTCGATGGGGAGGATATGTATATATAAAGTCAAAAACCAGTGACTCGTAACAAGAGTTATAATAGGCATATTCCCATCTAACTTCTCCATATCCCATCCAAATCCGCCACTCAGTTTACTCCATATGTGAGGCATCTTCTCCATTATAAACATCATTAACACGGCCTGATCTACATTAGATCCTTCCATTGTAACATCATACATATTTTCTGGAAGGTAATCATGTATCATTGTAACAAGAGTCCAGAAAGCTTTCTCTTCCTCCATGAATAAAAGAAGCAGACCAGCAACATAGTTAAGAGATTGACAATATCCAATATTAGGAGAGAACAAAGAGAATGCAACGAGAACACGCCTAAGTGATTGAATCATTGGGACATTCTCAGTCGCAAGAGTTGATGAAGGATCGTCTGTAAAATCTGTGGTTGCTTTGAATTTGATATTCTCGGGAAATGTTCTATGGAGGTCTAGCAAATTAAAGATATAGAATGTATGGTCCTTGTCACTTTTTGTTGCATAACATCGAGAAATTGCTGCCGTCAATAATTACCGCGCTCAATGATTTCTGCATATTCATTCTGTGTCTTTGGGTCCAATGATTTCATTACGAGCATGTCATACAAACCAGGATGAACTTTCATTTTTGTTTCGGCACCACTGTAATGAAACCATACCTATAATGGTTAGACTACATGAGTATCCAATTACTGTATATGGAGTAGATCCATGTGATTTATAGATGTGCATCTCACCTGTCCGCGCAAAGAAGGCGGAATACCTTTCCTAATATATCTCTTTACTGATATGGATATGAACGAATGTAAGTAAAATGCAGAACACTCACAAGTATTTTTACGTTCATAAAGGTTACATGCATTCACATTCTTCTATCATGTTATACCTCAAATTAAAAAACATACTTTTGCTATTCCTACTGGGAAACAAGCCACCATTTTCTGTCAACAGTGCATCCCACTTGATTTTACGTCTTGCCTGAATTCGTGAATACACTGCTTCAAATTCTGCATACTTCTCCCGACTTATCCATTGATACGATTTCTTAAATCCATACTGATCCCTAATAAAGAAACCTCGTCTGTCAAAGAGATCTACGATGCTCGAATCAAGATCAACAGCCATATATAATATACTATATTTGATAACACTGTAATACTGATCGTATTATGACACTTAATACGTTGTTGTCCATAAATACCTATCGCTGTTCCGGCCAGCCCCATTCACAAATCCATAATTGAAATTAGACATATTCATATGATCCTTCATGGATGTGCTGGATGGGGTTCTTTCCAAAGTGCGAGACAGGTAACTAGGAGCTATAGAATTAGGTGACTGAAGAACATCATCGCCCGAGAAACTGCTTAGTGATGAACATCTTGTCTCAGCAATACTGCTCCCAGAAGGAGATGGCGATCGATTGCGGGATCTGCTAAGTCTACCGTAGGATGGAATGGCCAAGTTATTAACATTCTCATCTTCGGAGTGTCTACGCTCTACTCTCTCACGTCGTCTAGAATAGTTGTTTGCAGGTGATATATTTGCATTTTGATTTTTATCTTCACAACTTTCGTAGTATTGCGAGAGAACGTGTTCTGGACTCGGTGGTTCTTGCGCGCGCTGATTCTTGAGAGTAAAAGACGAACTCAAGGGGCTTGGTCTATGAGCTGGGTTATATATTTGAGAAGACGAGGACGAAGAAGGAAAGTCATACGAGGGTTGTCTCCTAATACCATAATCAGTATCACGGGTACGAGTTACGTTTAGTGAAGGTCGTCGTCTAGCTGTTGTTTGCATGGGCGTCCAAGCGGAGTTGACTGTTAGCCGTGATCCGTCGTTTGGAGGAGAGTTTGTTCTAGAATAGTCATCAAATATAGACGAATAGTGGGAATCTCTTTGAGTGTGTTGGGTGTGGCTGTTTGTTATCATTCAAACTATTTTATTGGAGGAATTTAAGAAATGTTCAAGATCGTCCAGAGTTAAGTATTTGGAAAAATGGAGGAGTGGTGTTAAGGGATTAGAGATGGCTATTGAATGATGCGTTGTTGTCAATTTTCGTAAAAAAATAATTATAATAGGAGGAATGGATGCTTGATAAGGTGTTTTGTTAGGGAAAGACTATTTGTCGCTTGAGTCCGGTAACGAGGATGATAAGGAATGGTATGCAGTTGGGAGGGAGGAGATAGCAGAGGTCAGACTCGAGCTAGATGCAGTCAACTAATTAATTAATAGAAGGAAACCCCAAATGCAATCGCCAATCTTATGAATCTATTGTGGTTGGCTCCCAACACATCGTCCCTCTGCAGCAATGCATCACGAGGCGAACAATCACCAAGTTCAGTAATGCATCTTTCCTTCAAATCAGAGTTTATTCTGGTAAGTTTGTCCCAATTTTGTTTACTTGAATAAAAAATCATCAAAAATGGATCGACTCAATGTGGATCAATAAAAATTTATGGAACATCAACAAACCCAATTTTTCATCTCAAAAGGATTTGGGTTACTCTGAATTGACGAATGTTCAGTATGAACAATACTACAGACTTATAATGATACACGGACAACAACATAGGATCATTAATATTATCTTCTTGGTTCAATGAAGTTTGATTTAGTGAAAACATCGACCCAAGGCAATTTATATAGATTACCCCGATATTAATATTGAGACTATTTTTGTAATAATTGATCTAGCCGTAATTGGTACTCGTGAAAATCGTTAAACCAAATATATTAATATCAGACAACAGGGAAAACATGCAACGAGATACAGACATCAAAAAGCAAATACTATCGTAACGACAAGCAAACCAAGTGTCAGACATGTTCTCATACATATGCAATATTCGTGATGAAACGTGGTAGATGCAAATGCGATAAACTATTTAAATTTGCATTAATATTAAATCAAGACCACCAAATGACAAATTCGTAATTCTAAATAGTCTCTGCCAATGCATTCCGCATGCAATGGGATCTCACTCATGTCTCACAAGTATGTCCATACATAATATATATTCTCATATGCTACATATGATACTTCATCTCTTGACCTTAATCTCTTGATTTCAGATCATTCTATCCACTTTCCAATAACAGCTCCTACGATGCACTCTCGTCATAGCATTTGGCACCGCTAAGCAAATATACAATAATTATCCATTTGGAGAATGAAACTCTGTTGGTGAATGTGATGCAAAAATAAACGATTCAATCTGTTGTTTGGATAGCTGTGGATCCTTCGAGAGACTAAGAGCAAACAAAATATTTAAGTGAGAAAAATATGAAACCAAATTTAGGAGAAAGGTTTAAAACTACTATGCGATAAATGTAACTATATTATTTGAACTTTACTTACTGAGTTTGCTTGAACTTGTATTGATCGTGCTCGTACAAAAAGTATCTTGGCCTCCAATCAATTCCCTCAGCCTCACGTGTCTTTGCATCATTACGCTGAGTATCCTCTATCAATGTCTTCTCTTGTGTTGCCAAGTCCAAATTTCTACCTGCTATTGCTGATGTTACTTTCTGCCATAATCTATAGAACAACGAACAGGAAAGTCAATAAGACATTATAAATGTATCACACGTGTCTTGCCCATAATCTCACCTTCTTGATTCATTTGGTTCCTGTTCAGACTCTGGAGCTACTGTCTTTGGATGTATTTTCGCTCCATGAACATCAAATAAAACTTCCTTCTTCCCTGTCTAAAAAAAATACATATGATAAGAATAAGATGTATGCTAAACCGCAAACCAAAGAATCTTCTTATAGAGTCAACCTACTTTGAGATCTTTAATATACATGATATCCGACCATTTCCCACCAATTTCATAAAGACTCTCTCCTGTCGATTCTATCTTTATTTTACCTACGATAGCATTATAGGAACCGGAAAAGAATCCCTAAATCAACCAAACATGCAATGAGAAAAAAAAACATTCACAATAAGTACATAAATGAAACTATATTTCAAATCACACCCCGAAAAGTTTCATTAAACCGTCCATACCTTCGTTTTAAACTCTAGCTCGCAGATCAAATCGTGTTTTTCACATCGTACCACTGACGCATCACCCAGTTCAAGTACCATTCTTCCAAACAAAATACCCCTCGCATAGACATTTGGCATAACAATAGAATAGACCTCTCCTGGACGATTTGTAAAATAGATCCTCGACTCTCCCTGCATCAGAGTTGCTGCGCTATTACCAAGAAATCTCGATTTGGGTCGAATGTCACCCGAGATAATTAGATTATTCTCGGGACTGGCATAATAATAGGCTGAAATAGGTGGATGATGTGATACTTGTTCGGATACATAATACGCCTCGGTATTATCTGAAAATTTCCAGCGAGCACGAAAATGTTCACCGAGAATCGGATTGTAAGGCTTCTTGACACCCTATACAGATCATACAAGCCAAATGTAAGACGTTTGTAGTCAGTTAATGGGCGTAAAAGTAAATCCTGTACGAGAAATAGCCTTGGTATGTCAGAGAACAAGTATACCCGAATGTCAGTATAAGTACCTTTGGTTTAATATGCCATCCTGATAAATAATATCGAACCACACCCACAAATCGTTTCGTCGGATTTGGTTCTCTTGCCACACTATCAACACGATAATAAAGACTCGATTATAATAACGATCACACCATAGCATCTCGCACAAAAATACGATAATCTTCATCTAAGTCAACTCCGGGTTCGACAACCAAATTCACACAAATCAGAAGTTTTATTTGTCTACTGAAAAATCTATATATCGAAAGATCATAACTTTTCAACCGTTCAAGATCTACTGTTTCCACTTAATATGGAGTTTACCTTAATATTAACTCGGGGTGACTCATAAAGTCAGTTATCCGCTCTAACATGCTGCGTGGTTCGAGCACAAAGGTAGGCAAAGTAACACGGTGCAAATCCATACCTTTGCGCAACTGCGAGATGAGTCCAAGAAGGATACTACGTGGTTCGTCATCGAGAACTTCTGTATCAGTGGTATTAGCATTCTCCTCGTCAGCCATCCCGGTTTTTCTTATAAAATAGATTTAGATAGAAGAAATAATGCAAAGACCGTCGAAGTAATATGATATAGCAATTGAAATATGAACGTATGGTAGTCTCATATCACTTGAAACTTTGGAATTGGGAATTGGGTAGTAATAGCAATGATAAACCATATTCGCGCCAATTGATAGTTTTATGCGCCGCCTTGTGCCACAATTTTTTTGCGGGGGACAAATTATTTGCCACAGTCTTTTGTGAGTGTTATGCCACAATCAACAAGTTCGTATACAGGTAACAGTCACATGAACATAGAAACAGGTAAACATATCAGGATGTAACACTATTTTGGATAATGATAGTAATAGTTATAATTATAATACTGTAGTATACGAACGTTATCAACACCCTTATATTGAATACTGAAACGATTTAGCAAAAGTGAAAGATGAAGACTAAAAATTCGTCACGATCGAATGATTTATTTTAAGTAAAATAGTGGCGCCTTCGCGATTTAAATGCGGGAGCATATGAGAAGATACTATTACTATTGTCTTTTATGAGATAAAGAATGTTCCAGTATGCAACAATAATTACAGGAATTAAGAGATTTCTTATGGTAAGTTATGAAACTATTAATTAATAGGACATTCGTGTTCGAATGCCTCCGCTGTGTTCGTATATTCTTGAAACATAACAGATTTATCGAACATCGAGTGCCTAAAGAGTTTGAGCAATCAAAGTACAATTAATTAGCTTTGAGAAAAAACATCCGGCAATTCCGTAGAACACGTCGGTCACTTGTAGTCTCACTTTTTTTTCCGGTGGAGTTGCAAGTAACTATCTGATCGTACCTCATTACCCTGTTAACAAACTGAGGCTCATACATTATTATTCATTATGTTATTACATACTTGAAGTAGAGATTTAACAATGCCTCATCTAGCGTATGTTGCCGTAGTCTACAGCTGCCAAGATCAATTTCTCTACCATTCCTATCAGTGTAACGTGTAAATACGGTAGAAATATTAATGTTAATGAAGTCATCTTGTGACGTGTAGATGACAAGCAATTACTATGGTTGTTCAAAACGGGAGGCAATCATTTCATCGACAATCATTTCACCGACAAATATTTACCAACATCCTTTTTTAGTGGTTAATTGTCGGTGAAATGATTGTCGACGAAATAATACGGACCCGTTCAAAACAATATACTTGCTTGCAACAGAGTTCCTACGGCTAGCAAACCTTATTCTACATCAATAATCTCTTTCTTTATATTCATAGACAATAAACTGTAACAATCTGGAGATCTGTTCGACGTTCTTTATCAGCGTTAGTTGTCACCGCTTATTTGACATGGTCCTCGCCCATTTTTCACCCGTACAAGCAACTAAACAATTTGGCTCTACACTGGTCTTTTTTTGGTTGCTAACACTTTTCCGTCCTGTTCACCAGCAGAGTATTTATTTATTTATACGTTACTCCATCGTCCTGACTACCTTTACTTCCTGATCTTAAATTTACAGTCAATATTAGTAATCATAGATGCAATAATTCGTATCACAATGCGTTTGTCGACAAATTTATTTACTTTAGCAAACAGAGCTGACAGGATTATGGCGTGCTGTTAGTCTTAATTGACGTACATTTTGTTTATCAGAATAACGGTAGTAACAAACGCTCTGAACCTGACATTTGCTACAGCCTCGTAATTGTGTTTAAGTTTATGCGACTTGTGTCACGTTTTGTATCACATACCCTGAAGATATTCTTGTGCATTGTGCCACAATAAACGAACCCAAACCTGGTACAGGTATGCACAATTAATATAGAAAAATAATTTCACTTTTCTTATCGATAATGATCTCTTCCAACGACTCCTCTAATCTCTCGACTTCGCCAAAGTCACTCTCAATACATGCTTCTTCATCCCCTCTAAATGAAAAACCATGGATTCAGCAACAATTTATTACTCCACCTACCACGCCTTTACCATTCCCTCCACCTCTCACTCGGGAGATGTTTGCAATCGACAATTTCGATGCCGACACTTTTCTAGCAAACAGACGACATTTAACCCTCGATGAGCTGAAGCGCGAACTGAATGGACATTTAAAGAGTTTAAAGAACGTACTTGTTGAACTGATCAACAAAGATTACTCGAGCTTTGTCGACCTCTCGACAAATTTGAAGGGGGTAGACAAGGTTATTGAGGAGATTGCTAGTCCATTGGTGAAGATAAGAGAGCAAGTCCAGGTGAGCAAATAAAATTGAAAAGGACGAATTGGGGATAGTGAGTGATCTGTAGACTGACTGTACGAGACCGGTTGGCTAGGGAGTTAGATCGACTATGCAACAAGTAGTGAATGAATTGGAGAGCAAATTAGCGCTTCGAGCTTCAATCAGAGAGAAGAAAGCCGCATTGCAACTGCTCATCAATATCCACGAATCGGTGAGAAAGGTTGAGGTGCTCTTGTTGATTAACAGTGAGAATGGGTCATCTTTATTGTCGGACAATGGAAGGTTTGTTAGCCTATAATTTATTTGCTGATTATCCTTAACAATTCCGTTATTAATATTGATTGACATTATCCGATGTATAAGCGGAGGCAACGCGAAGCAGATTGAGAGAGTAGCAGTAGAGTTTAACCAGATGCAATATTTGGTAAACAGAGGTCAAGGTTTAGCGTTCGTTGAAAATATTGACTGGGTAAAGTTCATATGCTGCCGTTTTTATTTAAACACTATCAGAGACCAATTATATTTATAATTTTGTTTAGCGGATTAAAAGAATTAAAGAAACTCTGCGTACAAATCTCACTGCTGCTCTTCGATCGGCTTTACAAGGCATAAAGAACAATTCTAATTATGCGTCTTCCAGAGACACTCTAACCCAGATTCTCAGAACTTATGCTTTGATAGACCAGACAGCAGCAGCCGAAGAGGTGATTAGGGAGGAACTTGTGGCTCCATTTGTTGCTGAGGTAATGAGAAACAGAAGGATGTATCACGTAGCTTATTTATTCCGAACCGATATTTTATTACTAATTTATATAAATGTTTAATTATTTATCCCCACTTTAAGACAGCCAGTAAACAATTTCTTGAGAATCCACTTACGTCGACTCCTTCGGTTATGCCCTCAACTTTATCCTTCCCAGCTGCTAAAGTTCTCGTTTCATCAAAAGAGCCGCTTGCTATAATGTATAGCAAGATACTGAGTTTCATTAGTAATGATTGTTATGTACTCATTGAAATCACTAAGAAAGTTCTCAAGAGTACTAGTTACGAGATTCTAGTAAATTCTGTGTGGACTGAAGTTGTGGACACAATATTAAAGAAATTGGGTGTAATATTTAATGCCGGAAATCCGAATACATTTCACAAGGTAGTTTACGTTATCTCTCTCTTCGACGTGTGTGCGGCATGGCTTTGTGTACATTGGTGACCATTCAGTATTTTCGATGCTCAGAATTACACAATATCAATGGGTTTTGTCTCGGGTGTTGAAAGCATGTGCTCTTCGAAGAAATCTCTGTTATATCTGAGAAATCATAATTCATATGTTGAATATATGAAGAGATGGCAACTTGCTGTATACTTTCAGTTGAGGTTGGTATTGGAATATTGTAAACATCAGCACTGGGTGTTTGTCACGTATGCATAATACTTATTTGTGTGTACATTGAATAATGAGTGAACAGATTCAGAGAGATTTCAATTCAAGTTGAGGATGTTCTCGGTTCAGGGTTGGAATTGAGTGCGACTGGGTTTTCGAATTCTGCCGTATTCAAGTTTCCTGCCAGTAGGACTATCATGGCAGCCATCCAAAGATGTTGGGCAGATGATATTTTTATATACGGCTTATCGCATCGGTTTTGGAAATTGACTCTACAGGTAACTATACAGATAAGAGCTGAATTTCAACATGATTTGATTGTTCTCATTTATGATAATTGATTGCGAATTAACGATACCGGTTTATATTGATAGCTGCTACAACGTTATAAACACTGGATATTGAATGCTATAAACGAATTGAATGATGCAAATTTAAACAAGAATAACAAGGATAACACATCAAGTGCTGTAATTGCAGATGCTACAGATGAACAGCTCTTACGATTGCTCACAGCAGTTGCGTTCGATATTGAGAATATACACGATAAGGTTCGTAATTTCGATAAAGGCCACAACTATTTAATAGCTAAATGATTGAACACCACATACCTTTTTTATGGTAGGTCAAATTATTCTATGGTGACACAATTCTTCTCAAACTTCCAACATTAATGGCTGATGAGCCTATTATCGAAGGTAAATTATCAATTATTAACAATAAGCAATCTTCCATATCTAATGTAACTCACCGTCCACGTTTTCAACAGACTCTATAACATCTCCCTTAATAACACTCAGAGATACTCTTCTTCCCGATCTCACCAACCAGATAACAACGATACTGACAAAGCAATGCTCAGAAATTCTCCATCATGTCCGGAGCATTACCCAACAATACAGACATACAAACAAGAAAGCCCCTACCGAAGCTAGTGATTTTGTTCCGCATATAATGAAGCCACTGGTTACATATACGGTTGCGAATAAAGCGATATTAACCGAGAAGACAAGAAAGACAGGGAGTTTAATTGTTGCTGAAGCTGTTGCTACGAGGTTACTATGGATACTCAAGTATTGTTGTAGCGTATCGTACAGCCAATTGCCTAACTAGATATGTTCGCTTTCGAAATACATTGTTAGATATTGCAATCGTGCAAGCGAACTACTGACATCGCTAAAAAAAACCGAAGAAGCATTAAAACGCCTGAAGAAAGGAAAATCAGCTAAAGCAACTGCTACTAATACGTTGTTTTCATCATTCCTGAGCGATGACTCTGGAATGAGTGATGAGGATAAGATAAGATTGCAGATTTTGTTAGATGTCAAACAATTTGGAAAAGAGGTAAGAAGATTTGTCAGTTAAGGCTGAGATTAAAGGACTTGAGCTTATTCATGTATTATCAATGTCATGTTTCATTAGTTGATGAACTTGGAAATCGACCCAGAACAACTTGAAGGATACAATGAACTGTACAAACTTGTTGAGCCATTTGGTAAATACAACACGTCTTGATTATCGTCCTTTATCGATCGCTTTATATTGATCTGTCCCAATTCGGGACTTTTTTTTTATTCCCTAGAAATCTTCCTCCAATAATTTAATGCAATAAATTATGCAATATTTTCATAGAATATAGAAATAGAATAAAAAGGTTTGACGACATTATTGTGGATAACCGTCGATTTTGCATCTAGTGACAGATTTTCATCTACAGAGAAAGAGAAAATGTAGAATTCTACTTTGAATTCTTGATCAAACGGATATATAAATAAGTGAGTTGAGAGTGAATATAAGTGATGCATTATGCAGATGCAATATTAATTCCATAAATCTACTATGTAACATTGATGTTTATATACATATGTACTACATTGCGATAGCATATTCAACGTTTTCCTCACTCTCTGCCTCCTCATTCCCCTTGTTTGCTGCATCACCCTTCCCGACCAGACCATTAAGCTCGTCTACAGCCATACCGACAATGTAATTCTGACTTCCTTCTCCATGGGGCAAAATGGCTTCCTGAGATGAGTTGGACGGATTTACTGTCCGCATAAAGTTCGAAAGATCAATGTTCGATTGAGTGACTTGAGCGAGGGAAGCACGGAGTTCAGGACCAAATGGACAAGAGTGAGAGATTGCTTGGGCCAAGCGAACCAGTTTTATTGTTGTCTTGAGAATGAGAAATTTTGAAGAGAATGGGTTAGCGATTTGAAATACCGTAGATTTACTGCCTGCTCATGTCGATATTCATAACAAAGTTCTTATTTGTACTTACTTGGAGAAAAGCCACAATATCCTCGTGTATAGTAGCAAGCTCCTCTTTACCATTTCTTGCTGCAATCTGCAACTTCTTCAACTTTCTAGCGACATCTTTGCTATGCTCAATATGAGCATTTAACTCCTTCACAGCGGGCTTCACATCAGATGGTTGTGGTAATGGATCATCAAATCTTGCTGCTAGAACTATATCACTTAATGGTTGCCACACTTTCTCTACCGCTGATATTGACACTTCGATCTTAGACAACAATATATCTGTGATAGGAACGAACGACACGTGCGCACTAATTCCTACTGGTGTCAGTCCAGCAGAATATGGCGTTGCTGAGTATGGTGCCGCCGAATATGGTGCTGCCGAGTATGGTGCTGCCGAATATGGCGCCGCCGAATATGGATACGCGTATGATGTCCCCCCACTGCTGCTGTTTGAACGGGACATTGATCTAGCCCGAAATTGTGCCGTTCCTGTGTACGGGGTATAATCGGTAAGGAGAGGTGATATCATCTCCCAGGCAAATTTTACTTCCGCAATTGATCCATGAAGCATCAATAATAAAGTTCGAGAGTAGCGTAAGTGTTCCAAAGATTGGGTAACTGTTTTCAGTTCTTTCTGAAAATAATTAATCAGTAATCTAAATGAGTTTACATTATGGCTACATGCTTCAAGCAGTAGGGCAGAAGTCTCTGAATCAGGACGTTGATGCATCGCACAATCATCAAATCGTTCTAGAGCAATCATTAGCTGTTCCATGCGTTTTTTAGCATCGAATAGGTTATTCGTGAACAGTTTTTCGTATCCAGTAAACGTGACAAATTGTTGAAGAGCCTTGTATACTTGTGAAAGTGCGTATAGAATGTTCCTACCAGCTTCTCTTAGAGCTATATCACTTGTGTGTAAGTGATCTGTCAGGGGAAGATTTTTTAATTTTAAGAAATATCCATCACCACCCCTGTCGATTTCGTTCTGTCCATTCGAAGCGTTATATGAGCTAATAGAATCTGTAGAGTAGCTTTTTGCATGGTGTGTTTGTTGTACTGATTGTAGTGGCTGTAATGGCTGCAGTGGTTGTCGAAATTGATCGTAACTGTCGTTGCTGTAGCTGCGATCGCGACGAGTGGACTCGATAGATAATTTTGGTGGTAAAACGCGTTTGCGTTCTTGTTTGGAGATTACTTCGTTGGTTTCTGCTATTGGCTTAAGAGAATTTGGTGGTTCGGCAGGAATGCGTGATGTGACCAAATGAGACAGAGATTCAGTTGACATATTCTTCTTAAGTTGTCTGGACATGTATTCGATTTCGAGCACTTCATCGTCACTAGTCTCTTCACTTTCTGCTGCTTCTTGTGCTAACCGCTCCGTAGATGAGCCTGTTGGGATTTTGTGTTGTAGACGAATTCAGCGATAAGTGCACTCAGAATAATATTCAATGTATTGTATAACCTGCCTTGTTCATGCTGTCTCAGGTAGTGCTTCAATTGAGTTAACCATCGAGACATGGCATCCTTCTCGTCTTTTGGCATAATACTGATAGTTTTTGGTGGAAATACTAGTGGATTGCTGTCTATTTTCAAATATTCCAGATCGGCCATATTTGCTATGTATGTTGGTAAACTTCGTAATTGATTGTTTGATATTTTTAACGCCTTCATCGGTTATCATGTCGTGGTTAGCTAAAACATGTTTAAATGCATTACGTGATAATAACAGACATGATGGCATACCCTCAATGACATTAATTTATTGAAACTTCTTGGCATGCTTTTTATTTTGTTCTTGCTGATATCTAAAATCTCGAGGTTTGGCATGTCACATAGCTAAAGCATAAAAGGTATATTGAATGTAAATAAGATTATTTAATGAAATTAGATTCTCTATATCTGTTATAAATTTCCTCTTTTCGTAACAGATCAAATCACGTAGACTTTTATACTACTTACTACAGCAGGAAATACTTTAAATTGGTTGTTCGAGATATTTAAATATCTCAACTGTGTCCAAGCAGTTATTCCTAGAGGTAGCTCGGCCAATTGATTTTGTTCCAATCCTAGTCTAATATTGTATAGGGATCGAAGCGAATAACAATAATTTGTTCAGTTCATATGAATACCAATACATCTTCATAGTGTAGTGCCACGATAGTTAAACTTATTCACGTACTTCTCGGTGCGTGACCTTTCTATTAATTCTATAACCTCATCCGGCATCTGACTAATTCGCTTCGCAACGAGCCTGAGACTAGTTGGATCGTCCACATTATGTGCTTCGTTGACGAGTTTAACAAGCCGTTGGACTTCATCTTCCATTATATGGATACAGATTTAATACTTTCGAACAGTTTGTACTATTGCAAAGTGTATTCGTCTATAGAAATCGAGTCTGTGCTACTACTTTACATTGCAGTTCCGGGATTGGCAACAAGGGCCATACCAAAATTCAATGACACCCCTGTAACATCACTACCAAAATTAAATATATTTTGAAAGTCTGATTCTATCAGTTTGAATTACTCATTTCTAATTTCCAGGAATTTACAAGGTAAGCGACTACATTTTTAGTCATTCCGTCCTTTTTTATTAGCTCTTGAGGTTCACAATGTTTATTTAATATGCTCATCTTCAAGTCCACCAGCAAAAATCATACATTTAATGGCATTGAATATGATATTAGCAAAGAAAATGTGAATGCATGTGTGTGGATACTTGGGATATATTATTACCTCCAAAAATACAGGATTCGTTCAAATATAAGAGCTGGCTATTCATTATAGTATTCCATTCAATATCATCATAAACACTTGCATAACGAGAATCGCAAAAATCTTTCAACGATGATGGCTTCTTAAGATGGCGGTACTGTGGTAATCTATGTCTGCTTGAGCGAAGACATCCAGAAGAGTCCAGAAAAGAGATTCCAAATCGTCGCGCGATGATAAGTATACGTGCTTCGTTTCCCATTAATGGGAAATATATAAAGGTGTGCATGAGAAGTCATCTTCATCCGTATCCTGTTGATGTTCCGATCGATAATATAAGCCAGATTTCTATCACCTCACGTACAACAACCATGTTCTTTGGATTAATATCTCGATGAAATACACCATAATTATGCACAGTTTGTAAATGTAGTCAAGATATCCTTGAACAATGCCAGTGTCGTTGTTGCATCACCGAGTTCAACTATCGGAACTAAGCAAGGCGTCAATTCAAAATTGCTGATGGTGGTAGTCGAAAACGCTCGTATTCTTTTAAAGTATTGCCGCCTCACAGCAATGACTCTGGTCACGTTTATGTCTATCTTCAGCGCTATTCACTACACCAGAAATCACCCATGCTTTGCGACCATAACCGTGACGGATTATTTTCTAGCTTAATTAACCCACATTTGCTTTACTCTTGGCATCGCTCCATTCTCTCCACTCAGCAAACGGAATTTAGCCGAGTCTTTAGAATCGCATTCTGTGCAGCGTTTACCACGAAGTAAACGCACCGAAAATAGCTGAAATCTACGCTGCTTTTATATCTTTCGAAAAGACTGATTGATCTAATTTTAGCTACTGCGACGTTTATTGGCGTGATGACTGTCAATATCAATGCGTGGGCTTGTGTGATGTGAAAATGAATTTCGTACTAAGTAGCATAGATAATAGAGTCTAATTGTTGTGTCGCGACGCGCAGAAATCTAGTACGAGGAATACGTCGTCACATAGACTAATATCTATCAGGTTAAAACTAAGAATTTGGAAGATGAAGATTTTGTCAAAGCAGCCAAGGAGAACTATTTGCGACAAACAACACCAGATGAATTGATAGTGAATTTCTTTTATATGATCTAAGCTTATGATATTAGTGTTATGTAGTCTAGTTCTTTTTGTATGTTCTTGAAAGGATAAAAAAGGAGTTAATTGGCCGCTGGATGTCAGGCCAACTACCACGGGAAAGCATTCAGTAATTGGCCTTGGTATTTAGCTATTTAAATCTAGACTTGCCTAACCTCTACTCCTGCTTAAAAGTTGGTGACCTTTAAATTACTCACAATTCGTACGTTTGGTCTTGTTAATCGCAAAACGCGTTTATTATTAGAATAATTAACAATCGTATTCAGCCAATTCCTAGATTCGATGGACAAGATCGAATCTACGCAGCGATTTGGAACCTGCGGTTTACGGCAATCAAATCACTGGAGAGGCCAGGTATTTTAAGTATATTATTTATTATATGAATGATAAACTAATAGTACAAGTAAGGAACGTTTAGATTCAAGAACGGGAATCCAAACTGTAGCTGATAATAATGTTAGCTAGCGAAAATACCACCGCTTATATAGCTTCTATAGTTTCAATAACTAATATCTATTAAATAATATTAAATATACAGTACGTTGGCGTTATCGATTTAATGTAGCGAAAGCCTAAAGCTTGAGTAACCCATTAACCGTTATCTGTTGCACTCTGTTATCCATATTACCAATGTCTGCGGCTTGGAGGAATATGTCACTATTATTATGCAATACTATGAAAATTATTCTTTCAAATCAAAATGTTGATAAATTAAATACGTCGCGCAAGTCGGATACTTCGCAATTATGCTGTTATCAACTTTTGAATAGAACGCGCCAAATTAAAGATAACATTTCTTAGGCAGCACAACTGAAATATAGGAACCGTTTATTGTATTAATGGACGAAGCTCAATTCATAAATTATGACATAAAGTATAAAAAATTTCCCCTTACATAGTGTCAAAATAATAAACTGTACTATATGATCTGATTATACCACGTGTTATATTATATTAAATTCGGCATTACTTGGGTATTTATATTCGTCATCATAAATTTGTGTATTTTTCATTTACTGAATCATTTCCTTGTTCTAAAACTTTTTATACATTTAACTATTTGATGAGAATTTAGCTGTTTTCAAAATGGTGCGAAATTGTCTCTACCAAAACAAATTAGAATCCAAATTGTAATAAGTCGATTCTGCATTATCCGGAGACTGCGTCCGAGTAATATCGATTATCCAATCATTTTCTGGTGTTAATATCGTCGGATATTCTTCGATCAACTACACAACGTAACAATGAGAGTCATAAGTCATGTAAAAAACTTTTAATAAAAAAGCGGATTGTATTGAGATGTCATTACGGGATAGTATAATAATATGCATCGAGCATCCGAGGGATTTTCGGCCGTTGAAGCAGTAGCCGAGAAATTATCGACCGTTGGAGTCTCAGTCGAGAAATTTGTAATCGCTGAAGTCGCAGCGGGTGCAACTGATAATATAAACAGAAAGGAGCACATGAATAACTCTGGTGTTTCTACTTTATACGTTTGATTGGCTAATGTTAATGAATACTTAAAGTGAACGCACAAACAGTCTAGTTAATTTGTATCAATATTGTGTTCTAATTATCTTTATAACGATGTACAATGCTCTTACTCTGTCTCGAATGCAACGACTCCATATCAATACTTGAACCTCTTCTTCTTTTTCTTTGTTTGTGTTTTTCTATACGATGTTGTAATTTAATTAATGTTTTTTCGATAAGTTCTATTTGTTCTGACACACGTTGTTTGTAATTTTTTTGGGGCCCACGTTTTTTGATCGGTTCCACAAATTCGCACACGCGATTCTGCCTCTCGCAGCCATCACACGGTGCGACACCCGTGCATCTGATTCGCCGCACTTGACAGCCTATACATGCTGTTGTGACTTTTTGACGTATGGGAGTCGCGGTTTCAGACATTTGGGAGAAAGGTTGTCGAAAACTATGGGTGGTAAAAAGCAAATTCCGAGGATTGGAGGAAGACAATTTTTTTTCACATCTTTTCTCGCTTAAACTCTTTATATGCTTTTTCTTTCACAACAGTTACTTTATTTGACGTATCCTGCCTGCTACTCAAACCTGTTTTGGTGTTGCATACGACAAGTATAGAATTGAATATCTGAAGCTTAGAAGGTTACAGACATTCTTTGTTGGGTTCCAAATTTCTTTATGCCGATTCCAAAAAATTTACTTCCCATGTACAAGGCAAAATATAGCAGTACTTTGAGCACAGGTTTTTGGTTTCTCTCCGTTCATTGGTATATAACCCAAGACATTTAATTGGTGCGTATTATGGGTTGGGCTGCAATTGTGACATGGTAACATCTGGCTACAGTATCCAAATACCCAAATTGACTTCATAAAAAAATCCAGTAATTTCTAAGTGTTTAAGTTTACAGCCACGTTTGTTATTTAATTAATGCAAATATACATTAGCATTTAGAAAGAAAGAAAAAAGTTTACAGTATTAATTTACACCAATGTTTAATATTAATGAATTCAAACTTGGACTGCACCCGATATTTCGGTGATGCAATTCTCCAACGTTATAATATTGTTCGAAGTTATTGATTGCTTTACACCTCTTCTTTAATGCTCGCTTCTCGGAGGTATGACTGTGATGAATGAAGCATTTATGAACAGCTGCTGGAAATAGATATATAATAGGTAGCGAGTCAACAATAACAATGGAGAGCGAAAGAATGCTTTTGTACTCTTCTGTTTATATAAATGAATAAATCAAGTTAATGCGTTGTTGTTTTCTATAAAAGGTTGCTTCGTAACCGAATCATTTTCGTGAGGTTGTTGTTGTTGTTGTTGTTGTCACACTACTAAAACAGGATCCTTTGTTCTCGTAATAATCGTAAGCCATATCAGTGTATGTGAAATGCATATGATGTATAAATCGATATAGTTGATCCTTGTTGAGAATGGAAAGACATCCGGAACGATTATTGAGCCGTCTGTAAAAAAGAATAATATTAACGACGTGTGTTACATGTAGCACCAGTATCAATTGGGGCATCGATAAGAAATCGTTTCAGGTATGCACACCATATTATACCAAAGTCTCTAGCATTTTTGTAGCGTATACCGATAGATTTACTATCAAACATTTAACCCTCACCACGTCAAATAGTTTGAAAAGGTCAATGGGCAAATCCAAATGCGAAGTTCTTGTTGCCTATCTGAAAACAATGATTATCAATCATCATCATTTAATGTCCAAATTTACTAACCATTATATATGGATAGTGCAATACGCATCGATAGTTGGGCAAGATGATCACAAGTTTTCTCAATCCAATTCAAAGTTCTAGCGTTCCCGCAATCCGACCCCTGTTTGTACGAGGATTGGCGTAAATAAAATTTAGATAGGCAAGTGAAATTATTTTGTGCTAGTATTGTTCCCTTACATGGACCCATTTATAATTTACTGGGAACTCGATACTCTCACAGACCAGGAGCTAACGCACG